AGGTAGATCTTGTCTTTCATAAAGGCCAAGGTCAGGGATCTTGGGCCTAAAAAGGTTGGTGACCACTGCTCTACTCCTTCACTTGAAATAGTAGGTTACGGGGCGAAGAAATGTCTTCGTAAAAAAAAAAAAAAAAAAAACTACGCAATTTTATACACACTTCGCTTGATAATGTTGCAGCAGACAGATTTTGAATGCTGCCTGCAAAATCAATATAATTCATTACAGCAGAGACTGCCTGCTGTCCTGACCCTCATGCGCCCTCCTGTTGTTTCAACCTACCCACATGAATACACACACACACACACACACCAAGTAAAATATCAGTCACAACTGTACACACAAACACAAATCCAGCGACTCAAACGTGTCTGTTTTTACAGTTACATTCAGTCACACAAAGACACTCTCTGTGCACCCTGGGGTTTCTGGGACCCCCCGGTTTGTAATCTCACAGGCATAACAGTTCTCGGGATAACTCTACCAGACTCTATTAAAATGAAGAAAAAAACTCATACACACAAAACACAAACATATTTTCCCAGTCAAGCAAATAATAAGTTAATTGAAGCAATTTTAGCACTCAGTTGGAGGACAAAACCACAGGATAAGGCTGTACCTTCTCCTTCAAGACAGTAAGCCATTTAAGAGTGTACAGATGGCGAGACCTGTCTGTTCAAGTATAGATTGCTCTATCTGCATTTTTTTGTTTTTTCATTACAATGATTGATACTGTCTTGTGATGCTACTTTTTCGGTCTCTGATTTGCTCCTGACAGCCATAACAAGTCAATTATTCACTTGACAGGACACAGGGAAATAAATTAAGTGCAGAATGATGCTTGAAATCTTATTAAAGACTTATCCTGCATGGACAAATTGTGCATTTCATGTGTAATCTAACGTTCAGTGCCTTATTGATGCCAGCAGTGTTAGTAATGGGAATTACTAATGACACAATCATTTCACGGCACCTGTTGACATGAGAAGAGCTTTCCCTGGTACTTGTTGACAATGGTGTAACCTGTGGCTACAGTACGGTCCTCGTACCAAGCCACAGGTGTTTGGAAGTCCCTAGGGTTAGCCAGTCCATTTGCCCCTGCAATGCAGAACCAAATTAATAGACTTTTCTTTGCAGCTTATGAAAGCAATATGTTATTCAAAAGACGTTAAAAAGAAATTGTGTTGTATATACCTATAGGACCCAGGTCAGGCAGCTCAAAATGGGCCCCAAACACCTCTAGAATGTATCCCCTGGTTTCTCTAAACACATCAACACTAAAACGCATCCCTTGCTGGGAAACATAGAAGAGTACATAATAAAAAAAAATTATTAAAAAGTGCCATTTCTATGCCATTCATCAGAATGTTGAATGCAAGCATGAATGTACAATACCATTAATAATTTTGGGGTCAGTAAGATTTTTTTACTAAAAGAAATGAATAATTTTATTCAACAAGGATGCATTAAATTGATCAAAAATGCCATTAAAGACATCTATGATGTTACAAAAGATTTCTATTTCGAATAAATACTGTTTTGAACATTCTGTTCATCAGAGAAACCTGAAAAAAAAACTATCACTGTTTCCACAAAAATATTATGCTGCACAACTGTTATTAACATTGATAATAAGATGAAATTTCTGAAGGATTATGTGACACTGAAGACTGGAGTAATGGCTGCTGACAACTCAACTTTGCCATCATAGGAATAAATTACATTTAAAAAAATTAAAATAGAAAGCAGTTTTTAAATTGTAACAATATTTAACAATTTAACTGTTTTACTGTACATTTATTAGTTTTTTTTTAGTATTATTATTTGTTAGTCCATTAAAAAGTTGTACTAACCCCAAACTTTTGTATCTCATTGTTTTATAGATATTAGAGTGACACCTGAATGACACAAATCTCATTGGGCTCCACCATCATCTTCCCAAATTCTGTAGTAATCAGGGTTTCGCCTTGTTGAGGCACTGAAACACAAATTGCAATAATAATCAAAAAGGTGCTACTACTAAAAACATCTATATCACACATTAATCCTGAAAAATGATAAAATACTAAAAATATAATAATCTTGAAAAAATATGGCATGAATAACAAGACCACAAGCTTACCAATAAGGAAATCACCATCTGCGTTTTGGAAACATCTATGAAAAGAAAAGGTACCATCTTAAGAAACACTGTACAGAGAACACAGGTCAAATTATTGGTGAGTTGAATCCAGTTCAAACTGACTTGTCAATCATTGAAGTGTTACAGGTGTACATGTGGATGGCGATTCCATTACGAGATTTTGAATCTCCAGCTCCACAGACTGTATGTAGACCCTGAAAATATCAAACCGATGACAATGGGCATCACTGAGAATTATTTAAATATGAAGGCCATATGAGCAGTAAGTACAAGGATGACATTTTTTACCGATATGAAATCCACTTTTTTCTCAGAAGATTTGGGGATGTTAAACGGCTTCCAACGCAGCTGGTTGGGGTCAGGCTCCACTTCATTCCAGCTCTCTGTGAGATCTCCACAGCTCATCGGAGTGAAAGGCTTGTGGCGCACAGAGGGTAAAATGCGGTACAGCCAGCTATAAACATAAAGATTTGCTGTGCTCAGTTCTTACAAATCATAAGGGTTAAGGTTTGACTGTTATGTTGCATACTGATTTTTTTTTTTGCAAATCTATATACCTTCTCTTATTGGTTGATCGTGGGCAAGTGAAGGCAGAACCAGAGAGTTGCTCAGCATATAGGCCATATGGACACACTTGTGGATTGTTCTATAAAACAATAAACTAAACTGAGTATTTGATGTGTAATGTTAATTGGTCAGGAAGTTCTGGTATTACCTGTCCCTCAGGTAGAGATCCTGGACAGCGAGAGTCCTCAGAGGCAAACTCATTTCCAAAACCGCTCATGTACTACAAACACAGTTATTTCAACAGTATTGATTAAATATGAGTTTGTTTTACTTTCAGAACAAACTAAGTGGTAAAATGTGATAAAAGACCAGAAAAAAAAAAAAAAGTAGATGTGGACCATCTGAGCATCTCTCCCTTCTTATGAGTGAGCGACAACAAATGTGCTTAGTCATGGTGCATCTGCAGATGTGTACAAAGCAGCTCTTAAACATCTCAAGTCTGTATAATTGAAAACAAAATATATGGAAGGGTTCAACTCATAGGAATTAAGATTTCACTTTAATTTAAAATTTCACCTGGAAACACCTGACAACAATGTTTCTTTTTGCCAGTTGTTTACATTCTACTAGTCTACAAGTTGACAGTTGAGATCAGCAAGAGTCCACTGTAGTAGACTGTAAAATTCCTTTTGACATTAGGCTTTTGTTTTATAAAACGAGTAAACTGTTGAAAAAGCATTAATAAACTTAATGTTATATGCAGCCTACATTTTATGTAGCCTAGAGCCGAGATTAACTTCATCTGGGCAGCTGCAGATTCCAGTGATCTGATTGGCCAAATTGAAACGCCCCCCTCTCCTCCTCTTGTAACGATGACATGTAAAAATTCATTTTAATGAATCGGTTCTTTCGTACAGTTCGCTTCAAAGAATCGATTCATACAATCAATTGAGCGATGTCCCTGGAGTTGTATATTGCTTGTTATAAATCATTAGAGAGAAAAAAAAAACATATACTTACTGTTCAAGTTTTATTAATTATGGTGTTTGTTGTAATGTCATGTGTCCCAGTTAAGTTTGTTGTTCAGTTCTATAATTCAGCTCATAAACTATAAAGTCTTATTTACATTAAACAAAAATAGAAATTCAACTATGTCCCGATGAGATGTCCATTCGTGAACTGCTCTAAAAGATACAGGTTGTCCCGTGAACAAATCGTTTGGTGAAACGCCTCTACCTATTCAATAAAAAGATCCGACTCAAAAGAGAGATTCGGAACTCACTATGGTCATAGGATATTTCGGTGAGTCCACAGCGCTACTTCAAACATAATAAACATTGCAGTTGGTTTATGTCTCCAAATAAAAATGGAAAAAAAAAAGTATTTAACGAAAACGTCGTATAACTGGAAAAAGTTCGTGAACAAACTGCATTAGGCCTACGATACAATTACAATAGGCTGTGTAAGTTTATTGAACTTAATGTTTTATTTTAGACAAGCAATCGTCCAGGCAGTCCAAAGTGCACTTACCTTCAGACCAGCCATTGTTGCGTTATTTTCTAATGCAGTTTAGTAATAGCCTATATAAACTTTTTAAAATGAACTGCAACTTTGCACAGATGTACTTTCCTCAGAAGATCTTCCGCTAGCACTGGTCCCTTGAAACTGCTTGTACCGAGTCCGCGCTCTCTTGCAGCAGAAGACAAGAGGGAGGAACTTGGGTCGTATTTACGTTTTTATCAATATGGTTTTAATTAGACTCAGACACCACTCGTGACGCAACCAGATTTGGGCAACGTTTAGGAGGAGAGGAGGAGAGGTTTGATGTTCACAGATTGTGCAGAGAATGACCCCGGCACAGGTACAACAAATGTCAGTTCAGGCAAGATGGTAAAGTCCAATTCTCAGGTCTTTAACAAATGCACGTAGGCCTGTTTCTTTTTAAATATAGAAGAGATCAAGGAATGTTTAGCTTTTTGGTAGTAGCCTACTGTACACACGTATTTGTTTGGATTTTTATCCCCAAGTTTACTCAAATCCTATATTACCATATTTGTGGAAATATTGTCACAAAAGTTAATAAAAAATGTATTCAAAATGTAATACATATGAAAAAACAAATACAATTACAAGCAAATATAGAAATATACAATCAAAGGCTAACGAGAGGTTAATCACATTTACACTGTGGTAAATGCCTACACACTATCTGTTTGTGTGTCCATTATATAGCACTAGAAAGTAGTGTCACAACCAGTGTGGGGTTTAATGCTTTACTAAGTAATTAATTACTGTAATTTAATTACTTTTCTTTTGAAAAGGTAAGGGATTACTCTGAATTTTTCTGTAATTTAATTACGGTTACTTCTGATGTAATTGCATTAAATACTATATAAAACAATTCTGTATAGTGGATTGACCATCAAAATATAACATCTAATGTTAAAATGTATGTTTTTAATGTAACCTTTTCCCTTTAAATACTTTGGTCAGTTCAAGATTTATTTATTTTAGAATTGAAAGAGCGTTTCATGTTTATCCTTGGATTGTTTAACTGGTCGAGGTTCAGGGCCGTTTCTAGGCATAGGCGAGCTAGGCGGTCGCCTAGGGCGCCACCAGCTGAAGGGGCGCCAATGAGCGCACGTACTGGCACTTTTAGCAGGGTTGTGATAAAGAGTGGCACGGTCACCCTGAAATATGACTGCCGCCCCCACTGGATCCCCCAACATCATTGGGCTAGAGTACTGTCAATCTGACGATGCCTGTATCGCAGCGTCGGCACCACGGGGGGGGCCTGAGGGGGCCCGGCCCGGCTACCTCGGTCACTGTGCCCCCTCACCTCTGGTGCCGTCTCAGTAGTGGGCGCCCCTCACCTCTGGTGCCGTCTCAGCAGTGGGCGCCCTGATTTTAGTCGGTGAGGCAAGGTACTGCCCTGGGAAGGTTTCCCAGGCTGTTAAATACACAGATTAAAAGCGAAATGTTTTCATTTCGGTTCGTTCTTAGCAAAAAATTTTTTTTTTTT